CCCCCCAACATAAATAAATATATAAAAAGACAAAAGACTAACAGGTATATGGAAAAGTGCTCAACAGCACTAACCACCAGGGAAGTACAAAGCAAAACCACAATCAGGCATCACCTCACACCTCTTAGGATGGCTATTATCAAAAAGACAAGGGAAAAACAAATGCTGGTAAGAGCGTAGAGAAAAGGGAAACCCTTGTAGATCGGTGAGAATGTAAATCGATACAGCCAGAATGGAAAACAGCATAGATGGAGGTTCCTCAAAAATTAAAACAGAAGTACTATGTGATCCAAGAATCCCACCCCTTGGTAATTATCCAGAGGAAATGAAATCAGGGAGGGTGTATTTCAGTGGTTAGAGTACATGCTTGGCATGCATGAGGTCCTGGGTTCAATCCCCAGTACCTCCATTAAAAAGTAACTTAATAAATAAATAAATCTAATTACCTCCCCCTCCGAAAGGAAAAACACACAAAGGAAATGAAATCAGTATTTCAAAGAGCTATCTTACTCCCGTGTAATTCCAGCATTATTCATAATGGACAAATTTAGGAAACAAACTTAAGTGTCCATCAACAGACAAACTCTGTCATAATTCAGCCATAAAAAAGAAGGAAATTCTGACATTTGCTGCAACATGATGAACCTCGAGGACATTATGCTAAGTGAAACAAGTCAGTCACAAAAACACACGCAAAAAAGAGTGAGGTACCGAAAATAGTAAAATTCACAGAGACAAAGCAGAACGGCAGTTACCACGGCTGGAGGAAGGGGAGGGGGAGTTTTTGTTTAATGGGTATAGAGGGTTTAGAGGGTACAGAGGAGGAGACGAAAAGAGTTTTGGAGATGGATAACACAGCAACATGCATGTACTTCGTATCTCTGAACTGTACACTTTAAAAAACGGTTAAGAGGGTACATTTTATATGTATTTTACCACAGTTTAAAAAAACTGGAAAAAGCAAAAAACCGAAAGGACCCTATTTAGCTGGTGAACACTCGGAGTTCTCTTCTGAGTCCAAGCCCTGAACTTTCACTTCCCTGCGATGTGACCTCGGACCTGTCACACCCCGCCAGGACCATGAGTCAGATGGCGAAAAGGGAACTTATCATACTGTTTAGGACTATTGCACGGATAGAAACTCTTTATGAGCCACATCAGTGCCATGCTTGGCACATATTAAACACTCAATACGTGTCAGTTATTATTATTTTATAATCCTTCCTGATGGAGGACAAAATGCAACGGACACCACTAACACCTCTGAATTCTCTGCATCTTAAATTCACAGGAGATCTGACACTCTGAGGGCTCACCATAGCTCTGCTCAATAATTGATTCAGGATCTCTGTGAAGTGTACCCTGTAACAGTGCACTCAGTAGCTCACTGACCACCTGGAAGAGTTAATTAGCTTCCCTAACCTCCTTCAGGCACTGGCCACAATTCAGTTAATTTAATAAAAGAGTATAATGACCCCAGATTATTTATACTTTCAGTTGTTTGAATCAATCGTATGCTGAAGTATGGTACTTAACAAGCATGGTGAAATACACTCTAACTGTAACTGATAAAGCTAAGTGGTATGTTGCAAGAACAAAAATGTATACAAAAGCGCAAGTAGTTAATTTGTGTGGTATCACAGTATTAATCAAAATAGCTAACAGAATTCCTGTGTTACAAGGGAGCTTGGGAGGCCGGTGACTCTTCTAGGCCTGTGCCAACCAGGTATCATGTATCTCAGTCAGGCTCATTTTCCGTAAGGTTTAACAGCAATTTCCTAGTAATTTAGGTAAGTTAAAAGGACCCTAAAGGGAGGAGGAGGCGATGGAGAAATCAAAGAGAGTGGAAGGGAGTGCTGGGGAGAATTAATTTCTAAAAGCACCTGTAAATCCATACTGATAACAAATAGGGGGAGAGAAAGAGAGACGGAAAGGGGAAGCTCTTATTTATAGTAGAATAAAAGAAACTAGTAAACTTAGAAGAGATGATGCGTTAGAAAATCACTCTTTTGCAACCAGCATAATAATAATTGAGGCAGGAGTCATCAGCGGATACTAAACTAGTGCCTGAATATTTACAAAGTCTCAAAGAATCCCCTGGAGATATTTATTAACTGCAGGGTAGAGAATTGTCATTTTGCAGTGGAGAAACCTGGCAGACACCACCTTAACCAAACGGTCAGAGCGGACATTATTCCTGATAAGATGCACCAGAGAAAGACAAGCATCTCCCTGGAATCCTGCTCCCCCAAGCATCGCCTGAATCTAATCATGGGGAAATGCCAGACAAACCCAAACGAAGGCGCAAAATAAATGGTCTACACTGTTCAAAATGTTAATGTTGTGGAAAACAAAGGAAGGATGATGACATGTTCCAGATTAAAGGAGACTAAAAAGATGTGACAACTAAATGTAATCTGTGATCTCGGTCTAGAGGGAAAAAAATAGCTCTAAAGGATAAGTGTTGGGACAACTGATGAAATTTGAATCAGGTGTATAGATTACATAAAAGTCTTGTGTAAATGTCAAATTTCCTGATTTTCATCACTGGGCAGTGATCATGTAACTGAATATCCTTGTATCAAAAAATACACATTGAAGTATTAAGTGGTAAAGGGGCATGATGTCTGTAAGGAATTCTCAAATGGTTCAGGAAAAATTATGTCTATGATATGCATATAATTTATATATGTAATATTATAATATTATTACATTAAATATGTAATATTGAATTATATACGTGGAGAGAAAGAGACTGATAAAGCAAATATGCTGGAATGATGATAGTTGGTGAACTTGGGTTTTGGGTGTGTGTGTTC